ACCTGCTGCACTTTCTCCATCACCATCTCATGTTCCTTCTTTGGCTCCATCAAGGAAATCATCTGGCTTAATGGGCGTATTTAGCCAACTGTTATATCTTGATGCAGAAGAACCTGCACCACAGCCAACTGAAAAACAACTTGCCGAACGTCAGCAGACTCTTCAGACGATTCAGAGTTGTCAAATTGATAGCATCTTTGCTGAGAGTAAATTTTTGCAAGCAGAATCCCTGTTGCAGCTTGTTCGCGCCCTTGTGTTGGCTGCGGGCCAGCCTCGCAAAGGAACTAACTCTCTGGAAGATGAAGAGACTGCAGTATTTTGTCTAGAGTTGCTTATTGCTATCACAATAAATAACCGGGACAGAATAATGCTTCTTTGGCGGGTTGTTTATGATCACATAGCAAGTGTTGTCCATTTAACAACAATGCCGTGTACTTTGGTAGAGAAGGCTGTCTTTGGTCTGCTTCGCATATGCCAAAGGTTGCTTCCTTACAAGGAAAATCTGACAGATGAGCTCCTCAAGTCTCTGCAACTTATCTTGAAGCTTGATGCTCGGGTTGCTGAGGCATTTCTTGAACAGATAACCCAGGAGGTTATGCACCTTGTCAAAGCAAATGCTATGCAGATACGATCACATACGGGCTGGCGGACAATTATATCTCTGCTTTCTTTTACTGCTCGGCATCCAGAAGCATCTGAAACAGGATTCGAGACACTATCATTCATCATGCATGACGGGGCCCACCTCTTGCCTGCTAATTACATCCTCTGTTTGAATGTGGCAGCGCAGTTTGCCGACTCTCGCATCAGAAATGTTGATCAATCTGTGAGATCTTTAAACCTGATGGCTGGATCACTTGTTTCTCTGATTAGATGGTCTCACAAGGCGAAGGAGGCACTTGGGGAGGAGGCTGCTATAAAAATGACCCAGGATATAATGGAGATGTGGCTCAGGCTGATACAAGGACTCCGAAAATTTTGTTTGGACCGGAGAGAAGAGGTTAGGGATCACGCCATCTTGATGTTGCAGGGGTGCTTGACCGGAGTTGATGGGATTCTTGTCCCGAAAGAATTGTGGTTGCAATGTTTTGATGAGGTGATATTTACATTGCTGGATGAATTACTCAATCTTGCCCAGAAGAGTTCTGTGAAGGATTACAGGAGCACTGAAGAAGCAATTGTTTTGGCCCTGAAGCTCATGTTCAAAGTGTTTTTACAGTCTTTGCAGCATCTTTTCCAGTTGACATCCTTCTGCAAACTATGGTTAGGGGTATTGGGTCTAACAGAGAGATGCATGAAGGTGAAATTCAAAGGGAAAAGGAGTGAGAAGATCCCTGAACTTATTACCGAGCTCCTAAAGAACACTCTACTTGTCATGAAAACAAGTGGAATTCTGGTGCCAAGTGATCCCAGCGGAGGAGACAGTTTCTGGAAGTTAACATGGTTGCATGTCCACAATATATGTCCATCCCTTCAATCTGAAGTATTTCCCACAAATGAATTAGAGCAGTTGGAAAAGCAGCACGTCCAAGCAGGTTGTAGTCCTCTTGCAGAGGGAAATGTTCTCGTCTCCCCCTAATAATAGCACAGCTTGAAGATAAAGTTCCCATCGAGAGGGCTTTCGTATAGTGAAATTGACATATTCTTTGTTGGCACCATCATTAGCATAATTAGATGGTGAATTTTGCAGCTGAGAGCCGTTAAGCTTAACAGATCTATTGAAGCACCATTTGGGAGCTGCAGGAGCAAATCCAGTATCAGCTTCTTCGCTGTTTCCTTTGGTTTACAGTTGTGATATCTTCATCTAAAAGCTTTATAGTGCTTTCATTTCACTCTTTAAAAGGCATATATGCAGCCCTGTTGGCTGTCGATACAAGATTTAAGGGGGTTACTTTAATGCAATTTTGTGCCTCCATCGCGGGTCTGATAGTTTTTACCATTTTTGCTGTACAATACTAGCATACTAGTACAAATTAGTGAATGATAATACAAATTGTCCCGATCAGGTTGATACATAGTTTTCTTGAAATGATATATATATATTCCGATTTCATCTCCAATGTTGATTAGTTCCCTGAATTTTCTCAGTTTTTCCGGTGTTTTATGCTATATGGTGCTGCTGTTGGAGGTTGGGTGGTAAATTCAGATACTTATGCGAGGTAGAATAAAAAATTATTCTAGTCTACCACTCTACGTAGAAGTAGGATAAAACATTGATCATTTGCCAAGAGCGGAGCAATGTTATCTGCTATCAGTTTTTAAAAAATGTACTCGTAATCTTTCTTGAAATGTTGACTATTTTAGTCAAAGTACCCTCATTTTTACTTGTAATGGAATTTTTCATCTATTTTCAACTGAAAAAAAAAATCAATGTAAGAACCATTTATTCCTCTTCTCATCAGTTTACAACTTCAAAATGTAGAAATCGATTTAGTAAGTCTTTGAGGAAAATACAAGTTGAAAAACTGACTTTAGTAATTTGAGAAAAATACAAGCTGATAATGTTCAAAATTGTTTATCTGGAAAAATGATGAGGAAAAAACATAAATAGACAAAATTTAAGAAAAAACTTCACAAACCTGGCAGTAGAAGGTATTTTACACATGTGGCAATTAAATAAATACATTCCCTGGCAGATAGCTTAAATCATGGACCCATAATCACGTACCTCAAGCATTAATTTCCTTAAAAAAAGGAATTAAGTTACACTATAAAAAAGACTTGTACTTATTTATTATTCACATTTACATTATCTGTTCGTTCTCATTTACAAAAAAAAGAAGAAAAAGTATGAGACTAAAAAATCTGGAATATAATGTATAACATTATACATGTAGAAGCCTGGATTATAATCTCATAATTGTGATAATATATGCTGTATAAATCATGTATAAATTATAATAAACTATGTATAAATTACAATAGATAACTTATATATGATATAAACCATGTATAAATTACACCGGATAATATACCAAGTAAAAATCACGTATATATTTATATTATAATTTATCATGAATTTTTCAACCATTGTATATATTGATTGTGTATTAATATAAATAATAATGGATAATATATATATATATATATATATATATAAAATACATATATATAGTATTATAATAGTATATAATTATGTATAAATGTGTATATATAAGATATAATGATGAAATTTAATAGTGTATAAATTATAATAAAATTCTAATATGATAATATACACAACATAATAATGGTATTTAATAGTGTATAAATCACAATACTATTTCTTTTGGAAAAAGATGGCATAAATGAGCGAAATAGAGGAAAACCTCTTTGAGATTTTTGGGTTTATGGAAAGAGAGACGGAAACGGTTTCCTTAATTATTGGTTATTTACGTCAAGACTGTTTAATGAAAAATAGTATCCTTAATGTTGGACTTAAATGGGATTCTCACTGTAGCGGCAGTTAAGGAATTGCCTATAATGCTATATCTGTAATAAAATTTGTCATCTTTGCAATAAATGAGTACTACTATTAGTTATGAGAATAGTTTTTATAAAGAGATCATCCGTGTAAAAAACTCAAAATGATTCTTACGGAAATGTACCAAAAAAAACACTATTTACCAACAACTAACTATTTTTAGTCATGCTACCAAAGACAGCCAAAAATAATTACCAATGATATACAACATTAAAAAAGAGAGGCAAAAACAGGTTTTTCTCGATGAGTATTATTGCGATTCGTTGAAAACACATAAATGAGGCAATATACAAAATTTGACGAAGTTTGAAGGCGAAATAGACTAATTTGGAGTCAAAATTCATTATCAATGATATAAAACATTAAAAAGATTAGGCAAAAAAGGATTTTTTTAATGCATTGATATACATGTAATACACATTTGATACACATATGATAAGTATGTGATACACATATCGTCGTTTCCCATGTTCATTTTCTATTTCAAATTTTAATTGAAATCACCTCAAAACTCCACCAAATCATCCCAAAACTGAGATTCAAAACTCCATAGGAAGTACCCAATCTATTCCAACAACCCCATCCAAAAGAAGCAAAAATTTGACATTTTTTTTTTTGGAATAGCTAATTGACTAATATTTTTAACATTTGGCCAATATATACTAGTAATATTTTAAGAATTGACCTATTTTTGTACTAATTTACTTATGGGATGACATAACTGGTAAATTTCCAAATGATAGAATCCAAGGATGACCTGTACAACTTTAACCTATCATTCACTCACTAACTACTGATTCTTTAATAATAGGATTTAGTTATATGACCAATGTAAAATTATTTACATAATAACTGATCATAATACATATTATTTCTTAATACTTGTTCTCTAAATGTGCTTAAGCGTACTTGTTTCCCACTCCGATTCCACACTTCTAAGTTCTATCCACTTGTTTACCTGCTTTTTCTGCAAGTGTTTTGTTAAGGGAAGGGACAAGGGAACGAATGAATACACAAGGATCACATTTTGGAATTCTTATGCATGGATAAATGGATTTGGTACCACCAAAAGCTATGGTGGAACGGTAACTACTCTTCCATTCTTGACCATATGTCTTGAATTCGAGTTATAAAAATAGATCACCTATGGAAAGGACCGTCTTACCCCCAAAGTAAAAATTTTTGGGGCAAATCCGAGAGTCCGAAACAGGTATCAAACATTGAGTAGGAAACCAAGAAAGAAGGATAAGTGGGTTTAGTTTATGCAATTTGCACACAAAATTATCAATAGTTTTGATACATCAAATCAAGTTTATTGGTATGCCCAAAGTCATTTTCCATGAACTTTTTTTTTTGGTATTGGTTTGGGAGAATATATATTAAAGAATTATCATATAAACAGAAAGAATATGGTAAAATCTACATAAATCATATCCTATATAATGTTTGATCTCCTGCAAAGATACCACAAGGGGATGTAGCTCAAATGGTAGAGCGCTCGCTTTGCATGCGAGAGGCACGGAAAACACGTCTCAAATTTCTAATCCTTCCTTGTCACTTTTGCCAGAAAACTTCACATTCATCTCAGAAAAGAATTAACTTTCAAAATTTTGGGAATACTTGTCTTGTATCTTTTTACAATCCTCATGAATAAAATTACAGAATTTCCTCACGCTTGGATACCAACATCAGCGAATGCTAGTGTCGATTAAATCCACCTGTATGTTTCTAGTTAAACTGTTCAGACTAATTCCTTCTGCTTTTCCCTCTTGAATTCACCATAATCCGAAAGCAAGCTACCATTTACTTTATTCTTCATGTTCTGCAATAGTCCTCTTAGTACCTGTTCAAAAAGGCATACGATTGTTAATTGTCAAAGAGCTTCTTTGTGCCGAATGGGAGTACAAAAACATTTGCGAAAAGGGAATGAATTTACATGTGTACTGATAGCTTAAAATTGCCTACTTTATTTTACAGGTAACTAGCTCTACTTATTATGGACAATTACCTCTAATTATCTTTTATGTGATCATATGTTTATGATCAGTGTGTAGAAGTTAAACTAGAGATCAGGTTTAGTATCTAACCGTGTCTGCAACATCTCTACGAACATCTTCCGGGACCAAAGCTAGCATGGGTGGAAGAACAAAGCTAATGCTCATCTGTAGTTGACCTTTCAGCCTGCTCCGTGGTCCATTCCTGTCGGGGTAAAGAGACCCTTTTACACCAAGAGAGAACTGAGACGGCTTCAGCGCATCATCCAACCCCTGAAGCTCCCATCTTATCTGCATAACCGTGGCTTCTGCTCCACATCATTCCATTACAAACAAAATGAATAAATGATTAAAAGAACGTGCTAAAGATTTGGTTTGGCACTTACTATGTCGAGTTCAAGAACCTTAGAAGCATCAGGGGGGATCCCAGGTGGGTACTCGACTCCTTCAGATTTACATCTCAATCTCATATCAATAACTGGCCACACGGTGATAAATAGGAACTCTATGGGTAGCATGTGAATTCTCCACTCTTCCTGCATGGAACTAGTAGTCAAGCATATAACAATGCATGCTGAAAAGCTGCAACAAATTAAACAGAGATCACCAGCCATTTATTCTTTTGATGTTTTGAAAATGGAATAGTGACTTTTGGGAATGGATTTCAAAACTAAGAAACCTACTCTCATTCATTTCCATTCTTTATGTTGTCAAAATTGAGTATGCATTCAGTTCAAACTTCGAATTGAGGCACTCATCTCATCAATAACTGTCTAACTAGATAGCTCTCTGGCTATAAATCAGCTAGATTCCGTGCATGAAGTAAACATTTTCGTAATCAGACTGTCAATTAGAATGGTTTAAGCATAGCATAAAATCGGAGAAGCTTTCACCTATCATGAATCAAAGCATTATAGTTTAGAAGACGACAAAAGCATGAGTGGAACATAAATTTAACCACCTCGTGCATTTTGTTAGTACTAACAATCACAAGATCCGAGAACATTCAAATCCATGCTTGTGCCCTAAAGGTAGCAAGGATTTCTAAGTGAATTTGTTCAAGGAAAAAGGAAATTGTTGAGCTGACACCTAGATAGAAAAGATAATACGAAAGCAGTAATGGTAGAGAGTAGTACTACCTACAATAGTAAAGTCAGAGAAATAAAGCATCTAACAAATTTGATTGCCTTAAAGATGCAAGGAAACAGGACAACCTCAATAGTTAGATTGGACAAGTCACTACGGAAGTCACACGAGACCTATTTTGTTACCCCAATAATTTTGTTTGTTGAACTACATTGTTAACTCGGTTTCCAACCAGATATTGTGTTCATTAACAATAAATTCAGGTTTATCACTTCAACTACTGAGGATATGAAGAATATATGAGATGGGTCTAAGGCCCATCATTCTAGTAACAGAGGACAAAAGCTATACAAGGTGACTTTCGTTGGATAACTGTCTTATGAAAAGAAATAACCGAGGCCTATCTTCATGTTTAAGGCCTGAAAGCTGAAGAGCAGAAATTCAGACAAGTGATGTCTTGGTGCGCAATTAACATTGCATAGCATACAAAGAAACAAAAATACAAAGGGGATTAGAAAGATGAATTGGGAATTCGCATTATGAAAATAGACCTTCAACCTAACTAAACTCCAAAAAATAACTCATGATGTGAGGATTGTCTGAGACCATACAAGGAACCAATACCTCAACCAATGTGGGATAATTAACACTCGCTCGCACACCTAGAACTGAACATCTGGTGCTTGGACAATATTGAAGGATTGCGTATAGGTGTTCGTAACACGCAGCGGAAGACAATAACAATCCTAGGCAGATCTTTTTATGTTTAAAATTTATTTACATGTCAATAGATCAGATCTAAGACGTACCTGGTGAAGAGAGTCTCGTTTCAAAATTTCTTCGATAGTGCGAAGACTCTATGCGTATCCACACCGAGACTGATCCTTGCTATCAACTCTTTGATCAATGAAACCCGCGAACAAATTGAACGAAGAATATTGTGTTGAAATTTTTCTCAAAAATCTCAACTCAAAGATAAAATAACAAGAAACACTTTTCTTGTAATTGTATTTTCTCTCTTG